AGGGTGTTTTCTTCACCAGGGAAAGAATTCTTCGGTCATCCACCACAGTTGTTTTCCGTGGTCTTCCGGGTCTTTTGGTGTTGATGAGCTCACCGGTGCGTTCCTTCTTTTTAAGAATGTTCCAAACAGTTGTTTTGTCCACGCCTAATGTTTTTGCTATCTCTTTGATGGGTTTGTTTTTTTTTTCAGCCTAATGATGGCTTGCTTCACTGACAGTGACAGCTCTTTGGATCTCATCTTGAGAGTTGACTGCAACAGATTTCAAATGCAAATAGCACACTTGAAACGAACTCTGGACCTTTTATCTGCTCATTGTAATTGGGATAATGAGGGAATAACACACACCTGGCCATGGAACAGCTGAGAAGCCAATTGTCCCATTACTTTTGGTCCCTTAACAAGTGGGAGGCACATATGCAAACTGTTGTGATTCCTACACCGTTCACCTGATTTGGATGTAAATACCCTCAAATTAAAGCTGACAGTCTGCAGTTAAAGCACATCTTGTTCGTTTCATTTGAAATCCATTGTGGTGGTGTATAGAGCCAAAAATGTTAGAATTGTGTCGATGTCCCAATATTTATGGACCTGACTGTATATCAAACTGATACGATGTTTTTCAGACATGCTTTGTCATCAACTGTGCACTGCATTAAGGAAGCTTTCGTATAAGGAAGTAACTTCATGTTGTTTTCGCTTGGCTGACTAAATAACAGACTGGAAAAGTGCGATTCATTTTCCTCGTGATAGTCATATGGTTTGCTGAATCAGCAACAAGCAAGCGACTGACTCTTTCCGTTTTGAGTTCACGGTGATATGTTTCTGAACCGATTGTCATGTTTTTGGTTTTGCTACTGCATTTTTTTTAAAGTTTGTTTATTTGTTTGGCACTAACAAGGCCCCTGACGGGCTAGTGGTTAGGCCTCGGCGCTATCACTGCCGCAACCCGGGGTCGATTCCCAGTCAGGGAACCGACCCCAGCCACTGGGATTGCATACGGCAGTGCACTCCCAGTGCCGGTCCCAAGCCCGGATAAAATCGGGGTGGGTCGCGTCAGGAAGGGCATCCGGCGTAAAAACCTGTGGCAAATCAAATATGCGGACCAATGATCCGCTGTGGAGACCCTTAATGGGAGCAGCCGAAAGAAGAAGAAGAACGACAACAACAACATTTGTTTGGCACTAACAGGCCACCGTAGATGCTGATATTAACACACACACAAAAACAAGTTGGAATTAGGGGATTCATCAGTGGAATGCAACAAGGCTCAAGGTGTCCACTTAGCTCTATATACATATTTAATCCTTTAATCAAACTGTGGAAAGGTGGCTCAGCTAGGAGCTGAAATGAACGTACTCACCTGTAGGTGTTGTCACTGTGCACTCAGTATAAGGCAGCTGATTTAGTCCTTCTTCAACTACAAGTCTAATCTATGAACAGATCAAGAGTGTGTCTTAATGCACTGGCAGCGTACCCCACCAGCTCTTTTAAGCACTTCATTTAAATCGCTGATTTATTTCAAGTGAACCCTTTTGCAAATGAAAATGACTACGCTTTAACGTGACAGCACTTCTTATAGGTAACGAATGCTTCAAGTACACTGTTTCAGTTAGCAGTTTTTTTCCTTCCTGTTTTCGACATTTCAGGACGCTTCGAAAAACTATCCTTTATGTTGGTTATGGTTCAATTGGTACTGGTGAAATACTTTAGAAAAATATTTATGAGCTGCTTATTTTATAACACTGCTTCCACAAAGCGTGCATGTGAGGAGTATACATTATATATGTCAAGACTCTCGATATATTACTTTTTCATTAGCACTATATTTAGAGTACTCAGGATGAGTACCACGTTAAAGCTATACTTATATTTGTATACTTGATATATGCAAAGTTAAACGCGTGTCCTGGTAATGGATATTATATATTTATGTTCTTAGCTTGAAAAAGATGATCTTGCTAATCTTGTGCTTTTCATTAGTAACACCTGGCTGCTAATTACTCTCTTAACGATTGTGTAGGAAGTAGGAAGGGTGTACTTATTTTTTCCCCACTGGTTTCTGAATGTTGGTTTACTTTTTTTGAAAAAAAAAAACAAAAAAAATACAACACGTTGAAATATGCTGTGTTTTTGTCATCATCTGACGTTATTTGTTTGTCTATACAAGCTGCTGAGGACCACACAATTGTTATTTAGGCCCTGATAAATGAAAACATAGAACTGACGTAGGGTGTACTTTCTTTTTCCCCATGACTGCATATACGGTTCAAAGGCATGAAATGTCATTCAGTAATAAATAAAGAATTGTAGTTGTTGATAAAGTGCTGTGGTATAAGAGGAATAAAGCACTTTGGGAAATGATTGGAAAGTAATCCACTTCAATTTCACCCCGTTGTTGATTATTTTCCTATAACGGCATGTCCCAAAATGGTTTCTTCCTTACATAATTGCCAATGCCATATTTGCTTTTGCTGATTTGGTGTTGACAGATGGACGTTATTGAATTTTATACCACAGCACTGTTGTGTTTTAGAGCAATTCTCTAAAATGACCGGTCAGAAGGTGTTGATTAAGGTTCTATATTAGCAGCTCTGAAAATAGTTTTGGCTGTAAGGCAAATCACATGGTTATATCAATGCACTCGTTCTAATGCATTATTGTTTCTATAGTAACAGCTCATTCGGAGGATGGATAATATATATAGCCTAAGGCTATTAATGAACGAATGGAAAAAAAAATGTAATTTAACAAAGAAAAATGTAGAGTTGTTGATGTAGTGAGGCCTTCTGTAAAGAAACCTCCAGTAGGTGTCAGTGCTTTTTAAAAGTCAGTACATTTCCATGACAGAAGACTTGGCGATGTCTTCGTAATATGAAAAGCGGGCGAGGGAATGACTGTTTATAGATGCTGTAAGGTATGTGAATGTAATGACTTACATGTAACTACAGTCATGAGAAAAAGAAAGCACCCCCTCCTTCATTTCCATGTTTTTAGTTATCAGTGCCTAAATAACAATTGTGTGGTCCTTACTAACTTCTACATACAAAGAAATAAACTCAGGTGCCAACAACAAAAAAACAGATTTCAATATGTAGTCATTTTTTCCCCAATAAGTAAACGAACATTCAGAAACCAGGTGGGAAAAAATAAGTACACCTTATAATTCAGTAACATGTAGAACCACCTTTAGCAACAATAACTTGACGTAAGTGTTTTTTTGTACGAGATCAGTCTCTCACATCCTTTTGGAGAAATCTTGGACCACTCTTCTTTACAACATTACTTCGGTTCATTGATGTTTGAGGGCATTCATTTATGCACAGCTCTCTTAAGATCCCGCCACAGCATCTCAATGGAGTTGAGGTCTGGACTTTGACTTTGCCATTCCAACACCTTGATTTTTTCTTCTTTAGCCATTCAGATGTCGATCGGATGGTGTGCTTGGGATCATTATCCTGCTGCATGACCCTATTTCAGTCCAGCTTAAGCTGCTGGACAGATGGCCACATATTTGTCTCAAGAATATTTTGGTATAAAGTGGAGTTCATTATTGTCTCAATGACTGCAAGTTTCCCAGGTCCTGTGGCTGTAAAACAAGCCCAAATTATCACCCCTTCGCCACCATGCTTGACAGTTGGTATGAGGTGTTTGTGGTGATATGCTTTTCACCAAGCATGGCACTGTGCATGATGACCAAACATCTCCATCTTGGTCTCTTCAGTCCAAAGTATATTGTTCCAGAACTTTTGTGGTTTGTTCAGATGCAATTTGGCAAACCTAAATTGTGCTCCATATTCTTTTTGGAGAGAAGGGGCTTTTTCATTGCCACCCTTCCATGAAAGCCGTATTTGTTCAGTCTTTTTCTGATTGTGCTTTCATGAACATAAACATTTAATGAGTCACATGATGTAGCTCATGGATTTTTTTCTTTATATCTCTGACCATTAAATGGCCTGACCCTGGGCTGAATTTGCTGGGACGCCCCCTCCTGGGAAGATTTGCAAAATGTCTTGAGGGCTCGCCATTTGTAAACAATCCTTCTCACTATAGAATGGTTAATTTCAAATTGTTTGGAGACGGCCTTATAACCCTTCCCAGGCTGATACCAGCAAGAATTGATTCTCTGAGGTCATGGCTGATGTCCTTTCTTTTTGGCATGCTGTAGAGCCACACCTGAGTGCTCCAGAACACCAAACTGCCAAAAAGTCTGCTTTTATAGAGATAGTCACACTTTTAGATGATTAGCTAATCTTGTGCTTTTCATTAGTAACACCTGGCTGCTAATTACTCTCTTAACGATTGTGTAGGAAGTAGGAAGGGTGTACTTATTTTTTCCCCACTGGTTTCTGAATGTTGGTTTACTTTTTAAAAAAAAAATAAAATATTGCACATATGCACACAACAAATATGCTGTGTTTTTGTCATCATCTGACGTTGTTTGTTTGTTTATACAAGCTGCTGAGGACCACACAATTGTTATTTAGGCCCTGATAAATAAAAACATAGAACTGACGTAGGGTGTACTTTCTTTTTCCCCATGACTGCATATACGGTTCAAAGGCACGAAATGTCATTCAGTAATAAATAAAGAATTGTAGTTGTTGATAAAGTGCTGTGGTATAAGTGGAATAAAGCACTTTGGGAAATGATTGGAAAGTAATCCACTTCAATTTCACCCCGTTGTTGATTATTTTCCTATAACGGCATGTCCCAAAATGGTTTCTTCCTTACATAATTGCCAATGATGACACTTTTTCTAATACTGAGTAATTTTAAGATATATAAAGATACACTCTGAAAATGCTAATTTTGTATCTTAATTGTATTACATACTTTAAATTATATAATTATAGCATACAGTATATTTGACCTGTATTTAACTTGTATTACAAGAGCATATAAAGCATTTTACAAAAATACTGGAATATAATTAGGTAATTATAAATTTCTAATATAAAATATATAATAATTTGTGTATACTGTATACAATATATAAAAATATTACAATGTCATTTTATACTGCAATTAATTGATTAATTGCAATTTATTACTGTAATTATATATATATATATATATATATATATATATATATATATATATATACACACATATACATACATACACACACACACACACACACACACACACTGCCCGACCAAAAAAAAAGTCACCGTTTATATTTTAATAGGCAAATACACAAGAGTCTATGAATAGATCATTATTAGAGCGATTATAAGGTTTCTAGCATGTTATATGTTTGGCAGCAGTTCTTTTAATCTTAAAAGATGAAGTGTGTAGCTTTTTAATTCTTTAATACCCATGTAGAAAGACGTATCATGGCCATATTCCAGGACGACACTGCCAAGATTCATCAGGGTTAAAATATGTGAAAGAATGGCTCAGAGAGCATAAAGAATCATTTTCACACATGAAGTCCTGACCTTAACCTCAGTTAAGAATTTAAATTGATGCACCTCTTGATGGAAATAACATCACAACATTTATTTCCATCAATGGTGCATTGGTTTTTGGTCAAGATCTTGTATTGACAATGAAAGAGGTGAGCACTCTGTAAAGTCTCCTCCAGCACATCCCAAAGCCTTTCACTGAGGTTAAGGTCAGGACTCAGAGGTGCCAGTTCATGTGTGAAAATGATTCTTTATGCTCTCTGAACCATTCTTTCACTATTTTAACCCTGATGAATCTTGGCAGTGTCATCCTGGAATATGGCCATGATACGTCTTTCTACATGGGTATTAAAGAACTAAAAAACTACACACTTCATCTTTTAAGATTAGAAGAACTGCTGCCAAACATATAACATGCTAGAAACATTATAATCACTCTAATAATGATCCATTCATAGACTCTTATGTATTTGCCTATTAAAATCTAAACAGTGACTTTTTTTTGGCCGGGCAGTGTATGTATGTATGTATGTATGTATGTATATATATATATATATATATAT